AAGGATATTACTAGGTATATTATTATTATTCCTCTAATAATATACCTAGTAAAACAATGTACGTATTTTTTTTTTTAAATGAACCTATTTTTCCTCTCCAAATAATGTACCTATACACATTTATATGTATATTGTAAAATAATTTACCTATGGGTAAATAATGTACCTATATTTTCTATAAATTATTGTGTACCTATTTTTAATTTATGAAAAATGTACGGAAATTTCAATTACAAAGTAACTTACTTAGTTTTTTTTATTAATTTTTTTGGTAAATAATATACCTATATTTTATTTAAATAATATATTTATATTTTATACGTATATACTTATATTTATATTTTTTATAGGTACATTATTGGATATGTAATTTACAGATATATTTTTAGAAAATTAGTTAAATACCCATTCCTATACATAAAACTATAAATAAACACTATACTATTTACTGTATATAAACACACCCAAAATAAACCCAAAAATCGACAGCTGTCGATTTTTTCAATTCAACAGTTATGTTGGATTACGATTTTGCCCTTTTGCAATTTTGAGAAATAGCCGACTTAAATTTTTTTTTTATTTAAAAAAAATCTTTTATTTAATAACAATTATGTTGTAGATTGAAGAGGAATAAGAAGAAGAAGAGCATCGACCATGGGGATGCATGCGCTCATGACTCGTGGAGCAGCCTATGCGGCTCCAGGCTCATCTTCTTCCGCCAATCCTTGTCAATGCTCTAGGCAACGCTCTTATCGATTCTTCTTCCAAGACTTAGGTTCGTCATCTTCCTCGTTGCTTCTTTCACTTTCAATTTCTCTTCTCCATTTCGAATTTTCAATCCTCAACGACGTCATTTTCTCAGGCTTTCGTTTGATTCACGAACTAGACGCCCACAGCTTTTGAGCCGTAATTTTATCCAGGTGCTCATGGCCACATGCTGCACCACAGGCATGGAACTATGACTTGTACAACTTGGGCTATAGCCTAGGTGAGTGTTTTCTTTCTTTCTTATAGTTAGTGTTAATGTTAAGCCCATTTAGAGCATAAATCTATATATATAAAGCAAAATGCAGAGAATGGTGAAACATTCAAAATACCAGAAAATGCCCTTGGTTAATGCAAACATTAAGAATTGAAATTATTAATTAAATGAGGATAATATGGTAAATTCACACTTTTTCATATTAAAAAAATTAAAATTAAAAGAAAAATCAGATAATGGCCTATTTTTATGGAACACAACTACCCATTATCTTTTTTAATTCTAAAATAAATTTTAATTTTTTTAAAAAAAGCCTCTCGCAGGCGCGGAAGCACGTGCGGAGAGGCTAGTATCAATTAAACTAATTGGATAATTGTAGTCTTACCTATAGATGTCGTGTGTCTATCTAACTCTCTTTGTGATGATAAATTTTCATTTTTGAATTTTCCTATGAATTTTCTTTTCTCTTAATTCATTTTTGTTCATCATGGTAGACCTTAGCTGGCATTGTTGGTGTAAAATAGGCCTTTTAAACAAATAAAATAAAAATGATATGTTCTTAAATTATATATATATATTATCAATTTCATAAGCCTCCCTTAAGGATTTAACCAAGTCTAAAATCTAACAATTCAATAAGTTAAATTTAGCCCACTCTATTTTGAAATTCTGGATCCATCCCTGCTACACCAGATCTGAGAGAAGGCTCACAAGGATGAGCTTAAGAAGAACAAAGAGACCATTTCACCGTCAGCCGAATCATATTGGTATGATCCGGTATGATTATAGCCGAAATTTGATGCTCGTTGAGCAGTTTCTTTGCGATTTTGTGATTAATTTGAATATGCCTACGATTCTTTCCCTTAGTTTTGCATTTCATTTACAAATTGCGATAAATAAATTGATAAAAAAAAATCTGAAAATTACTTGCTTGCTTATTTGTGTTAGTTCTAATATGATTTGTAATGCTAGTACTGTGTTTCTAGTTCTTAGCAGAATGGTTGAGCATCTACATAAACATTTACTGTTTGTATGATGTACATGCTAAGCTATTGTTAGTTAGCAATTTTTGTTTCGCTCTTACCACTGCTTTTGGTATTACATAAGGATAATAATGTTGTTTACTTGTTAAAATTCCTTTTTTAGCGGGTTGAGACCTATAAGTTATCTAGCCTGGTTTTGCTACTGTATATATATTTTTTTAATGTGAAAATATATTGTGTTATGCCTTTCAGGATAATGAACCGTTAATGAGGGCACTGTCAAAGCTAGTCAATCTTAAAAATCCAGATCGTGTCTTGTTTGTTGGAGAGGCACTTGTTGGAAATGATGTTGTTGATCAGCTTTCAAAGTTTAATCAGGTTTGAGCTCCATATTCATGGTTTTTTCTAGTATTGTCCAATTAGGGTTTGAATATGGTGTTTTGCTTATTAAATTGACCAAAATCTTTACTGCAATGTGCAGCTTCTGGATGAGATGATTGACAATGGCTTCCCTCTCACTACAGAACCTAATATTCTGAGAGAGATGATTGCTCCACCAAATATAGTTAACAAGATGTTGAGTGTGGTGACATGCAATAGTTCCAACATGAGTGACACACTTCCAGGTCCAACATCATCTTGCATTCCATGGAGAACAGCAGACCCGAAATATGCTAACAATGAAGTTTATGTTGATCTTGTTGAAGAAATGGATGCAATTGTAAAGAGGTCAATCTTTTTTGTCTTTTTAATGCTTTGATAAGATATCTCCATCCTTTTCTTTTTGGTATGGATTAAAGATTCCATGTATTAATGACTATGCTTCCTGTTCGTAATTGGTGACTCTTTACAATCTAGAAAAGACAGATAAGGAGCTTCGGAAATCACATGGCATCTTGAATGCAAAATTTTGTTCACCCTTTTGCTTTCCGCAATCTTTTTGAATAACTTGGATGAGAATAGTAGTGCCTTATCTAAAGTTTGAAGAGGAGAATAATCTACTTCAAGATAATGGTTGCAATTTAATTTATAATTTTATAAGACATGTTATCATTTATGGATGGTGATGATTATTGTATGAAGATCTGCAGACTTGGTAGTTATAATTGAATGCTTTGTATGATTATAATTTATATCTCAAGGTTTTGTACTTAAAGTTGTGTGTGTGCTGCTCAGGGATGGGGTCCGGGTGAAATGCGAGATATATGGTGAAGTGAAAGTGAACTCCCATCTCTCAGGTGTTCCTGATTTGACTCTTTCATTTGCAAACCCTTCTATTCTTGATGATGTAAGATTCCATCCATGTCTTAGATTTCGCCCTAGGGAATCCCAACAAATTTTGTCATTTGTGCCTCTTGATGGACAGTTTAAACTGATGAGCTACAGGTGTATGGTGTTAAAGCGACACTTAGGTTATTAAAATCTACTCTGTTTTTATTTAAGTTAAGGGTAATATAGTTAATTATTAAATATACCTTGCCTTCAAATTGGACCATTACATTTGATAGTTGTTGATCTTGTTGAATACTGAAGAAATTTCTCTTCCTCTGTTGAATTATAAGTGCTCAAGCTAATTTCATATTTAGTTAATTTTAGTTTTCTTGTATTTCAGTTTATAAGCCAAGTGTCATAGGTTGATTGGTTAGTTTAATGGAAGGCTGAGATTGCATTGTGATGTAATGCATCCAGCTGGCGTTGTTTAACGGTAATATTCTCACACCAAGAGTGTGAGCTATACTGTACCAATTCTTGCAATCTAAAGAAAGAGAAGGTTCTCTGCTACACGAATAGCAGAGAGAGATTTTGTCAATTCTTTCTTCCTTCTTCTATTCCTCTTCTTCTCACTCTGGTTTTTCCAAAATACTTGAAAACAGTAACATGGCCTCAGAGCCAGGTTCGATTAGCTAAACAGGGGCGTTCATTCTGTGAAGAAAATCAGTCGAGGAGAAGTTCATTTTCAAGCTTACGAAGCTGAGTGAGCTCGATCATTTTTTTAGGGTCTGAAAACAACTTGTTTTCAGGTGCATCAGAAATCAAAATGGCTGGATCTGGAAGCTCAGAGTCGAGACTTCCAATTTTCTCTGGAGAGAACTATGAGTTTTGGCGGATTAAGATGATTACCATATTTCGATCTTATGGTCTTTCGAATCTGGTAGAGAAAGGACTTCCTTCATCAGATTCAAAGAAGAAGAAGACAACTGAGGAAATCTCAAAAGAAGAGGATGATGAGAAAGCAGCTGCCATTCTCATGAAGGATGCGAAAGCTCTTGGAATTATCCAAAATGCAGTTTCTGATCAGATCTTTCCAAGGATTGCAAATGCTGACTCTGCAAAGATGGCTTGGGATCTGCTGTACTCAGAATATCATGGTGGAGAGCATGTTAGATCGGTAAAACTTCAAAATCTCAGACGTGAATTTGAGTACACTAGGATGTGTGATAATGAAACCTTATTTGATTATCTTACTAGACTAAATGAATTGATCAACCAAATGAAAACGTTTGGTGAAGTGCTTTCAAAGGAGAGGCAGGTTCAAAAGGTCTTAATTAGTCTAAGTAAGAAATATGATCCTATATGTCTTGTGATTGAAAACACAAAGAATCTGGAAACAGTGGAGTTGCAAGAAGTGATTGCAATATTGAAGAGTCAAGAACAGCGGTTTGAAATGCATAATGTTGATACACATGAAAAAGCATTTGCCTCATTCAATGTGAGTTCCAAAGGTCAGAATAAAAATGGATCTCAGTCTGGTTCATCCAAGTCTCAGAGAAATTGGAATCCTAAAGGAAAGCCATGGGAGTCAAAAGGCAAGTCACAGCAGAGCAGTTATCCTGCACAGAATGTCAATTTCACAAACCAGGAGAATGCTAAACCTCAATGCAAGGTGTGTTCCAAGCATCATTTTGGTGAGTGCAGATACAAGGGAAAACCAAAATGCTATAACTGTGATAGATTTGGACATTTTGCTAGGGACTGTACTGTGAATAAGAATGTGCAGAAGGCAAATTATGTAAACCAAACAGAGGTGACAGGAAATCTGTTTTATGCTAATTGCACAACCACTGAAATCAAAGCCAATGGAGAATGGTATGTTGATAGTGGTTGTAGCAATCATATGACAGGAAACTGCTGGTTGATGTGAGAACTAATGTGACGGGGAAGGTACAAATGCCGACTGGTGCACTTGTCAATGTAGCAGGCATTGGTTCACTGATGATTGACACAGAAAAGGGCAGGAAATACATCAGAGAGGTAATGTATCTGCCAGGGTTGAAGGAAAACCTACTCAGTGTTGGGCAGATGGATCAACATGGATATTGTTTGGTGTTTGGAGAAGGAATGTGCAGGGTGTTTGATAGTCCATCTATGGATTATCTAATCATCAAAGTACCAATGAAGAGTAACAGATGCTATCCGGTATCCTTTCTTGCTGACAACCAGCTGCTCATGAAAACCAGTTTCACTCAATGCACATGGATGTGGCATAAGAGACTAGGTCACTTGCATTTTAAAGGTCTGAACCAGTTAAGAGAAAAGGGCATGGTGCATGGCTTACCACAATTGGAAGAACAAAGTGGTGTGTGTGAAGGGTGCCAATTGGGAAAACAACACAGGGTTGTATTTCCAAAGGAACAAGCTCAAAGAGCAAACAAGGCACTTGAATTAGTGCATATAGATCTGTGTGGCCCTATGAGAAATGAATCTGTTTCAAAGAACAGATATTTCATGTTGATTATTGATGATTTCACAAGGATGATTTGGGTATACTTCTTGAGAAATAAGTCAGAAGCTTTCAGTTGTTTCAAGAAGTTCAAATCCATGACTGAACTACAAACTGGACACAAAGTGAAATGCATCAGAAGCGACAGAGGTGGAGAGTTTCTGTCTGCAGAATTTGTGGAGTTTTGTGAAGCTCAAGGCATCCAAAGGCAACTCACAATGGCCTATACTCCTCAGCAAAATGGAGTGGTAGAGAGGAAGAATGGGACTGTTATTGAGATGGCCAAATCAATGTTGCATGAGAAGGAAATACCCTATTTCCTATGGGCTGAAGCAGTGCATACAGCTGTTTACTTGCTGAACAGGTGTCCTACCAAAGCCCTCAGCAACATCACTCCATTTGAAGCATATAATGGAAGGAAACCTGGAATTGCACATTTGAAAATATTCGGTTCTTTGTGTTATGTTCACGTGCCGAATGAATTGAGACACAAACTGGAACCAAAGAGTAAAAAAGGGGTGTTTGTAGGATATGCAATTTGTGAAGAAGGTTATAGGATCTTTGATCCAATTTCTAACAAGTTGATATTGTCAAGGGATGTGACATTTGATGAAGAAGGTGCTTGGAATTGGACAGATAACAATGGTTCAGACATGCCACCATACTCAGTAGGAAATCAAGTAAATTTTGATACCAATTCTGGAAATGCAGATGACAATGATGTGGCTACACCTCAAACTCAGGCCTATGATCATTCTCCAAGTGATATAAGTAGTGAAGAAAGGAGAACTCAAGCCTATGATCATTCTCCATTGAAGTGGAGGAGACTAGATGATGTGCTGGCACAATGTAACTTTGTGCATCATGGAACCAGAAAACTATGCAGATGCAGCACAGGATGAATCTTGGCTTAAGGCTATGCAAGATGAATTGCAGATGATTGAAAAGAATGGAACATGGGAGTTGGTGGACAGACCATATGAAAAATCAGTGATTGGAGTTAAATGGGTTTACAAGACTAAGCTAAATTTGGATGGTTCAGTTCAAAAGAATAAAGCACGTTTAGTTGCCAAAGGATATGCTCAAAAGCCTGGGCTGGATTACAATGAAACGTATGCACCTGTAGCCAGATTGGATACTATCAGAACACTTATTGCTCTTGCAGCTCAAAAGAACTGGAAATTGTATCAACTTGATGTGAAGTCTGCCTTCCTTAATGGAGTGTTACAAGAAGAAGTCTACATTGCTCAACCGGATGGTTTTGTGATTCAAGGTCAAGAAGACAAGGTATATAAGCTGCATAAGGCTCTATATGGCTTGAAACAAGCACCTAGGGCCTGGTATGGAGAGATAGATAGCTATTTCTCTCAATGTGGTTTCGAGAAAAGCTTAAGTGAAGCAACCTTGTACACCAAAGCAAGGGGAGATAAGGAGATCCTAATTGTGTCTATCTATGTAGACGATATTGTATATACAGGGAGCAGTCAAGCACTGTTGGCTGAATTCAAAGAAGATATGATGGCTAAGTATGAGATGACTGACTTGGGTCTACTTCATCATTTTCTTGGCATGGGAGTTATTCAAACTGAGTCTAGTATATTTCTACATCAAAAGAAGTATGCTAGCACCTTGTTGAACAAATATGGCTTGACTGAATGCAAATCTGTAACCATACCTCTTGTTGCCACTGAGAAACTAGCTAAGGATGATGGAAGTGGAGCTGCAAATGAAGAACACTTCAGAAGCATTGTTGGTAGTCTACTGTACTTAACAGCTACCAGACCTGATATCATGTATGCTTCAAGTCTGCTAGCCAGATTCATGCACTGTCCTACAAATAGACATTATGGAACAGCTAAACGTGTCTTAGATCAGTTGGTGATAGCAAGAGCACATCAGGGTATGCTTTTACTTTTGGAAGTGGAGTGTTTTCTTGGGCCTCTGTGAAACAGAATTGTGTTGCACTGTCCACTGCAGAAGCTGAGTACATCAGTGCAGCAGAGGCTACTACACAGGCCATTTGGCTACGTTTTGTGTTAGAGGATTTTGGAGAGCTTCAAACCGAAGCTACTCCATTGCATTGTGATAACATCTCAGCAATAGCAATCACTAAGAATCCTGTATTCCATCAGAAGACAAAGCATATTGACAGGAGATACCATTTCATCAAGGATGCTTTGCAAGAAGGAGTTATTAATCTGGAATATTGTCCCACGAATGAGCAACTGGCTGACATCTTCACCAAACCCTTGGCCAAAGATCGATTCAATTATCTCAGAGGCATGCTTGGAGTGAAATCAGCTCAAGACTTAAAGGGGAGTGTTGAATTATAAGTGCTCAAGCTAATTTCATATTTAGTTAATTTTAGTTTTCTTGTATTTCAGTTTATAAGCCAAGTGTCATAGGTTGATTGGTTAGTTTAATGGAAGGCTGAGATTGCATTGTGATGTAATGCATCCAGCTGGCGTTGTTTAACGGTAATATTCTCACACCAAGAGTGTGAGCTATACTGTACCAATTCTTGCAATCTAAAGAAAGAGAAGGTTCTCTGCTACACGAATAGCAGAGAGAGATTTTGTCAATTCTTTCTTCCTTCTTCTATTCCTCTTCTTCTCACTCTGGTTTTTCCAAAATACTTGAAAACAGTAACATCCTCAACTCTTTTGTAATGCAGATAGTCATAGATTCTTGTTGTGCAA